ATCAGTTCATGTTCACACATATTTATATTTATATTTATATTTAAGCGCACATGCAAATAAAGGCGCGTAGCTTTCAAACATTAGGACGCGAGGTTAGTGACCAACATCAAGTCTCCTTTTTATTTCTAGCCCTACACTACACGCGACTGCATCATGACAAAACAGTAGCCAACTGTTTCTCTCTGTTATGCCATCATTAAATTAGACGGTTTTCATAATTCCAGTAAACATAGAAAGCCTCGCTTTATTTCGTTTCTGATCCAACCAAAAGACAGCCCCGAACTACACATTTTGCAGGAAATGATGTTTACAAGCCTAGTAGTTTGCACTGCATGACACCCTAATGAAACCAACATTCCTTAAAACGTAGTGAGAAATTCCCACTTTCGTTACCAGTTCAGTCAGTATGAGGTACCTAAAACGACCGCCCAATCGGGGCTGTTTAGTCGATGTGGGGATCGTTTAGCCTGTAGCACTGCGGTGTACTGAATGCGTTGGCTGATTGCGGGAGTGCCCGACTGCGGAGTCATTTTATCGTCTAACTCTGGTAATCCTTGTATTTGAGTGTATATTTGGCTGTCGGGTTACCCTCCAGCTGAGAGTGTGAGCAAAGTCTAAACTTTGGTTCAAGTGATGTAGGATTCATTCTCGACTTGTCACCTACAGTGTCAGCCCGGAGTCTGTTAGCTACATACATCTTTGGTGCTGCTTCAGTTCTGCAAAATACATTGTATGTCGTAATCCAGCGCCGCGCTTGTAGCATGATCAGGCAGTCATTCACATTGAATAAGACACTCATCTAAGCGTCAAACGGCGTGAATAAGGAATTCAACGATGACCGGGGTAAATTCCCAATATTGATATTCCTCTGTCACCTAAGCAAAGTAAAATCCGCTTCTGGGTGCTGTGTGGCCGAAATTCAAGGCATCAGGGTGATTTTGCTTTAGAAGAAATTCCATACAAGTGGTATTGTGAACAAAGTGCAGCAAATAATCCTTTCGGAACAGCAAGTTGGGAGCCCCTTTATCTAAAAGTAAAAAAGCCACCGTGTGTTGAAAATGCAGCCCTATTTGAATCATTGAAGTTCACCCCTAAGATGGCGGGATACGCCTAAAAATGCAAAAGTTTCTGGAAGGTTTCTCCATTTAGAGAGACGTTGCAGATGATTTTATCCAAGAGGAAAACATGGAATCAAAATCAACTTCCATGCACATCATCCCAAGTATAAACTTAGAATGCATCGTATTATTAATTCAAACGAACAAAATAAATCAAGCATTCGGTGATGGTTGATTTTCCAGTTTTACTCATAATATTTTCCCATTCCCACTCAGGGAAGGTGAAACATCGGAAGTTTTCGAGTGGTACGAAAGAGGGGTTGAGCGAATGGAACTATTTTTCAAACGACTTATTTAATAACAGGTACTGTGTGTAAATCCAGGAAGTTTAGATGCGCAAATGTGCATTGCTGATGGGGGAGTGAAATGGCTGTACAGTGCTTCTAGGCTTTCTAGTATAGATTGGCATTAATAACTCTTGGAACAGCCTCTTGGTTTACGAACATCGTCTCAATGAGTGTCAGTGACAATCCATTCATCCAAATAGGACATATCGGTACTACAGAAACGGTAAGATTGCCTTCTGACTCCAGAAAATCAAGCATTAGACCGAGGGTTTTCGCGTCATTCGACACAGTACGAAAAGAAGAACCCATTAAATTCGGACCATTTGTAGCCGTCTTAAATCAAACAATCAACAGGCGATGTATTTTACCTCATCTACAATTCACTTTAAACTTACTAATAACGCTTTTTTGATGATTCATTTTAATGTATGAGTAATACAATTTAGCAATAATTCGTTATAATTAATTAATCTGACTCATTTTGATTCAAGTTTTTAATTATTTTCACGGCTATGAGAACACCGTGTCATAATGGGGAAGCGCAGGCAGGCGAGCCATTTGAGATTTATCACAAATTTTTGCACTCATCCGGTAGCTATAATTCTATAGAACCGCGATTCGAGTGCGCAGTTTTTATAGTCAAACTTTTCTAGTTCATCTTTCCTCGGATGAAGGCAGCATCGCTGCTTTTATAAATGTGGTTGCCTGGGGTAGACTCCCATTGCACAAGATGGGTCAAGTTTACCTCCCTATCGGCTTGGTCCATGAGTTGCACCGAGTAACACTTGAAAGTTTTGCAACCTGGATAGATCCGGCGCCACAAAGCACCGTCAGGATGACCTCGAAAGGACACGATGGCAACGTACCTGAAGAGGAGTCCAATACGAAAAGCCGGTCGAAAGAACTCGTGATAATCCACGAGATCGTAGACATTTTTCCCTCGTTGACTAACAAAAAACTTCGTCTAGTAACAAGCAAGGTTTTTCCCCTTATTCATTATGTGTACTCTCAAGCTCTTTTCCGTGCTACCACGAAACTGGGTGATTCTGACTCATTTAACTCTGGAATTCATGGAGTGCATCGGTGCGTTGCATAGTTCATGGCACAGTTGAACAGCGGCTAATCATTATTTCTCGGAACGGGAGCCACCATTTGTATTCCTTCCTGTGCTTATTAAGTTGATGAAGTTTTCTGCGATCGGCTGACTGATGGTAGGTTGTTCAGCGAATAAACTAGCTTGCGCGAATTTACTGACCGGAAGATCCGTGGTTCGAACCTGAACACTACCTCTCGACTTCCCCTGCCTAGGCTTGGAAAACCCGGCAGTATTCTAGCGCTCGTGGAACCTTTGGGTGACATGGCAGTTAGGTCCCGAAAGGGTGCTACAAAAACTAAAAAAACTAGCTTGAGATGAAATGGTCAGCTGATAGGTTAATCTGTTGTATGTTGATTCATGATAAACCGCCTAGAATGACTCGGCAACGACAAACTGATTGGTGACCGCTACAAGAATTATCGGTACAACGTACAAAGTGCACCTACCCCATGATATTTAGGCTCCCACAAGAACCGGCCTCCAAAATAAAATGCAATCTTGGTAAGCCAACACCATGCACTTGAATCGAATATTTTGATGGTTTTGAAGATGGACGCGATATTGCAGTTCAGAAAGAAAGCAGTACTGCGGAGGAAACCAAATTTCTCGATCGAGCTTTCGTTCTGTTAGTGAGAAAAATGTGTGCCGAAAGGTCCGACAGCAGTATGCAGATAATTCATTCTTATTTAGCATAATCAGTCTTGTGAATTTCCAGAATCTCCAGGGAGATTAGAACCGGCGACCTACTGGCTAGTAGTTGTATGCTGGACAGCTCAGCCACAAACGATTAATCAGCACTCTAATCAACATGCATTTAGACAGCATATATGGTCTCACATTTTCTAAGTGAACTAGACAGAAACAAATTGACTCTACTCGCGATTCAAAAGGTTTTAATTCTCCTCACTTTAGCAAGCCCAGAAGGAGGACTAGTGAGTCTCCCATTTGAACACTCGTTACTTGGAGGTTGTCAGCAAGTAATCAGGTGATGTGAATTCTACGATTGGGGGATGAGTGGCTGTATATCTAGTCTAAGGTCGAGTTACTCACACTGCTTATCAGCTGCTCTTGACCGATCAGTTCAGAGTCCACAATACTGACCGGGAGGTTGTGGGTTGGAATTCCCCTAGAGATTTTTGCTTGTGTTTCTGTTCACTATCAAGATTAAATGGTGTGAGAATGATGATGATATATTCTATATTTTTGTGGCATCTAAATAGTAATACTTTCTTTTCACTGGATTCAGTGAATCACTTTGGGGGGGGGGGCTTTCGTGTCTCTGGCTAATCTGCTTCAATGAGAACGCTCACGTGATTATCGGCTCTAGCTTTTCGATCACGCGGGTTCTAAAGTCATCTCGAAATTTCAATACTCGTGCTTCTTCCTGAGCACGACTCCAACTGAGCGTGAACATAGTGTCCGCTTCAGCAGTGAGAATTCAGGTAATGCCGTCGTGCGCTCTTGCAATAAAGGCAAGGCGTTTACCCCGGAACCCGAAATTTGCATGAGAATGGGACACACATTTGCTGTTTTCATGCTTTGGCGTAGACCAGCCGAAAGAGTTGTATCGGACGAAAATGAGACCGATGTGCACGAACAATTAAAAAAGTTTATATGTGCAAAATTTCGGCCAAATCTTAAGAAGATTACTGGAAATGTCTACTAAGATAGCTACTTTTTTCTTCAACGTCCTCAATCCAAAGAAATACCAACGTTTCCGCCTCACTCCCAACTACTAGTTGATTTCCACCTCGGCTCACTATCGACTTCTTTTCTTTAGACAGACAGAAAGGTTGGGCTACATATAGATGAACTACTACTACTACTACTATCATGAGGCGAAAAATGGACGGTCAACCACAATGGTGCCCATCAGGTAATTTGAGAAAAGTGTAGCGTGTTTTCCATTGAGGGTTGGTCCAGCAGTGCTAAACGCACGCTTGACTGCGCAAGCAGATCCTGGATGTCGGTAGTGCAGTGTCTATCTATCGCTTCGTGAGATACTTGTTACTCCCATGGGCCATCAATACCTAGACACACGAACTTCGATTTCACACCGCCGTCTCCACAGCATTGTCCAGTTGCTAAGTCGCACGGAGACCTGGCATTGTGTATCGGAAATAAGGATGTGGGATGCACGCGCCTGGATAACTTGAACGAGTACGCACGCGCACGCACACGAGTGTGTTCGACACCGGACAGCCAGAGACACGCATAAATATGGGCGCACCAGCGAATATCTACATTCTTATTGGTCAATTTCGCCGGGTTTTGTCTGGCACACGATCTCCACTGACGAGTCGCCCGTGCTCGGTACGCCACAGCAACCACCAGTTTGCCATCTTCACACGCACGCAGTTGTCGCCTGTGACCTTATCCGTCTATTCTGCACATGGATGCGAAACACGTGAATGTTCAGTTCCGTGATATGTTGTGATCAAGTGCTGGATTTAACATGTTTTTTCACGTTCTGATTGTCCAATTTGTGATGCCTCCAGGATGGAAAACACTAACAATTCTAATTCCGACAGCAGACCAAAAGACTCTGACAGTAAAGCGAAACCGGAAGCAACGACGGCAGCGATGCGATTTCGCAGTGTTCGTCAGGCTATTGTGGCTCGTCTTCATGAACTGGAGGCAGAAAATAAGCGGCTTACCAGGGAGAAGACTAGCTTGGAGCATCAACTGCTGCATGTGTTAGAACGGTTAGGCACTGGAGAGTACTCGGGTGGAGAGGGAAGAGTCAGCGCAATGGATCGTGAAGAGGTGCGCATGCTAATTTCAACGACAATCGACAAGCTAGATGCCAAAATTACAAAGCCAGATTGGATTGGCACCACAGGTGTTGCGCCACTGGCTGAACCGGACTACTCTGGATTGCGCGGAAGTCTTGCTGAATCTGCCATTCCAAGCGCGTTCGAGTACTCCAGTCTGTCAGATGCGTACGAAGAAATCTGCCTCCAGAAAGATCTTGTACGGAAAATGATTACTTCAGAATCCAGTAGTCCATCGTGTGACCTGCAAACCAAGCCAGACCGAGACCACATTAGTGGACCATTGCCAAGCTCATCTAAAACCAGTCCGCAGGCCCCCTTTGCCATGACACAAACTATTCCGACGATGAAGAGCAGTGGGGATTTGGCTACTTTTTCGACCTCGTCTAGAGTAGTGGATCAGTACGTTTTCAATATTGACGATAAGTCTAAAGAAGAATCGCAGTCGTGTGTGGGCGCGAAACAGAGAGTTAAGGGAGAAGTCGATTTTGCATCGCCTATTTCTATCCGTCCCAGTGCTTTTCACCGCATTGACGCAAAGATCAAAGTTCCACAGTGGCTGACACAAATGCATGAGGGTTCCAACTTAGACGTACTGAATGCAGCGCTAAGAAAGGATGGTTATGACAGTGAATCGACCCAAACGAGTTTGGGTTCATGCTCAATATTTTCGCCCTCTTCCTCGTCTAGTTCAGGATCCCCAACGCGCAGTCCTGTACCTACAAAGCCCTCGCTTGGAGCTAATAAACAGAATTTTTCCTCCATGCCTTCGTCGCCCGTCGGTCCAACCTCACGAGCTGGAAGATACCGAGAGTTGTCTGTTGGCGAGGCTGCGAGGTGTTTAGATGATAGGAAAAAGCAGGAACCACCCCTTCAGCGACGCCGAACTTCATCCTCGTTTCATGCCTTAAGGGCAGAATATACAAAACCTAAAAGCAGAGAAGAGCTAATCATGATAATGCGGCGAATGTATGGTCTTCCGACAGATAGAAAAGTTGGTGAGCCATCGGATGACGTGACACAACGCGAGTGTACCGTTCCAGTTGGTGGCCCACCAAAAGTTAAAATTTCCAGACGGCAAATGAAACAACCAACACATGTAGAGGAGTACAGTGACACGACTAGTACAAACAGTCAGAATGTTCAGCCTGAATTCAGAGGACTACCTATTCACCGGTATGCAACTTCACAACGCGGTATGGATTTCGACAGATCAACGCTGTTCAGTAGGCAGCAAGTAAAACCGGTTCCCCATGGAATCCAATCGGCTGAAACTACTCGGCGACAAGAATTCCGTAAAATTTCACCAAAGCACTACACTCCGGTCTACGACACAAGGAAATTGCAAGTTTCCAATGGACAGCCGGTGCGCATCGGTTCGTCTTCCGATTTCCTACGAAGTCCAATGCAGTTTGGCCAGTTCTTTCCTACAGACAGGCAAGTTTTATTCGAATCAAGAGATTTCCCGATCCTCACCTGCCTCATGCGACCAATTGTTGGTCTGGATGCATTTACTCGCACTCAGGGCCAGCTATCACTTTTTCAACGAATTCAACCTCCGTTCCCATCCCCCACACCTATTCTAAATTCCTTCGGGGTGGCAAATCACTCGCACGAGTCCAGTGATTTGACGTCTGAACTGAGCACACAAGCCCAACCTGTACGACCGTCCCACAAGAAATTCACGAAAATCGAGAAACTGGAAATTTCCGATGGCTCAGCAACAAAATCCGCAGCGGAAATAGCAGTAGCAACGACAAGGTTAGGTGAATCTTCGCTGATCGAAGCGGCCCAAGCACCTGAAAGTCAGGTAATTTGCTCAAACGGTGATGTAAGCAGTTTTGAGGCGGTTTTATTCCGATTAAGTAATCGCGTAAAAATATGGCGCCGCTATCGAGCCGAGTTAACATCTTCCAGCCTCTTGTTGCACGCCTCTGAACCACCTCATCTGCAACCTCCAAAGCGATGTATTCCCCTTGGGGAAATTAAAATCGTGCGGAAACCACACAATCTGTCCACTTCGTTCACTACCATTCTCACAGCTCCGACGAAAATAGAGTATGATGGTACTTCAAAATACTGCCTGGGAAGTGTTCCGGTGACTCGCAAGTTCTCAGCTGGACCAAATGATTCCACCAGTAGGACAAATTATGGACATTTCGAGCTTCTTTTGAATAGTGGAAAGTCACATCGTTTACGAGGCACAAACCCAGAAGAAACTGACATTTGGTTGAGACACATAAAACGACGAATACGAGCCCATCGGGCGAAGGAAATTGTACAGCAGTGTAGCGCACAACTGGTGATGCAAGGCTGGGTGCGGCGCGTGAAGGGAGGTGAAATGACTTGGGTTTGGTGTAGGTTAATGGGACAGTATTTGGTATACTCTCCTGGGCCGGAATCCAGTATACCGACCGGCTTTAAATCACTTGATGGTACCCAGGTTCGTACAATGCATTCTTGTTCTCCAAGAGTTACCTTGCCGCAAACAATAACCGCTCAATGTTCCATAGCCAATTCAACTGGTATGCAAGTGCAACTTACAACCAGTTCAGACTCGGATACGTTGGCGAATGGGGATTCTGAGATGCAACGACGAACGATCGCTTTGTGGACTGATCGGACCGATCCAGTTTACCTGATCTGCCGGACCGACGAAGAATATGAACAATGGAAGGATCATCTGCACAGGGCTTGTAAAAAACCACTGGACATTACCGCTGACGTCAGAATAAACCCTGATCTGGTGGGTATCAGACTACGAGAACAGTGGCGCTTTTTGGTGAAAGTGGACCACGCCACAGATCCCTACCACACAGACAGGCTGATCAAAGTTCCGATTTCAAAGACAACCGAAACCAACCAAGCTGAGTTATGTACGCAAATGATAATGTGTTTGTTAGCTTTATCTTATCCCCAAATGGTATTTGGAAACTATTCGGAGTCGGATTCCAGGTTACCCTCTGCGAACATTCTCGGAACTTCACAATGGCTGGAAATCAAATATACAATTGTCAAGTTTTTGAGTAATTTGGGCTTAACGACCCCAGAATTAAAGGACGAATTATTTCTGCAGGTGATCAAACAGGCAACGCTCTCTGAGACTCAAGAAAAAAGATTGCTAAGACGGCAGTTTCCGCAGCGTTCCAGGAGGACAATACGAACGCTCCCCTGGTTTTGTGTTGGGCAACGTAGTCCAAGAGGAAGAACGACGAGCAGTGGCAGTGTTACACTGGTGGGTGGACACCAACCTGGAAACGATTTACAGGACTCTCCTCACAATGTGTTGGTCGCAAGTCGAGAAGTGCCCGTGAGCGAATTCATAAACCGCCTGAGTCAGGAAGCAAGTTTGGCATTTCCGGTTCCAGCCAATCTGAGTTCAAGCCGACCCGAAGGATGGTGGCCTGTTGTTGCAGTTTGGGAATTCCTGTGCCTCATTCTACCCGTATTTCTTCCATCGACGCCTGTGCTCTATTGCCTGGAATTACTTATCACTATTTATTGTCAGAAAGGTTCACTGACACGGACTGGACATCCGGATGAAGGGATTTACGCCGAACTATCCAGGTACGCAGCCTTTTGCAAGGAGGCACTAAAACAGACAATAATACATGGTGGACGGTATGAAGTTCCTTCGGCACTGGAGGTGGCATCGATTTCTATTCGAAATCCTTACACGCACACTTACCCATTCAGTCTACCGATACATGTGCCAAACGGGAATGTTTACGAGGTTGTTAGTTTCAACGGTGGCTCTGAATTCCGCATTGTCATCGAACAAATGACCTTGAAACTTACATTACCTTCATCGAAACAACAATCGGCCTGTGTGTTTGGGATATATTTACGCCTTACTGGAGTGGGTAAACCTACACGTTACATCTATTTGCGACCAGAGTGGAAAATGTGTGATGTCTTATCCTTATACGAAAGAGCCATAATTAGTAACCGGGAGGAGCGTAACGTGAAAGTTCCACTGGAAGATGCAACAGCGGAATTCGTATTTCGTATTCAAGCGTTTTCGTGGAAGAAACTTAAGAAATTGGAGGTTGCAGATGTGAAGCCTGTGATAAGTTTGCTTACGCATCAATTGCATGAAGATTTTCTTCTTGGATCCTACCCTGTCATACCAAATGGAGCTGAGATGCTAGACATGGCAGCATTGCTCTGTCGAGCCAATCATTTCGACTACACGGAACTACAAAATCGTCGCGAAGCAAACCTCAGTCAAATTATTCGCAGCTATTTTCCTATTAAATGGGTTGAGGAAATTGCAAAGGATGGTCGATCAATAATCCAACTAAAGCTAATCCTTTTGGATCGATGGTCTTCAATCAGTAGAACATTTGGAGATTTTGAAAAAGCTTATGTAAACGAGATGCGCATTTCCAAAGGTAACGATCAGGACAAGTCAAATAAGACAAAAGAAGAAACGCTCTTCTGTATTGCGAAAATTCGGGCGTGTTTCGCTTATCTTCGTCTGTTGCGCCGTCTCCTACCCGAACGCTTTGCTACCACCATTTTTCCGGCAAATGCATCCAACCTTCCTGGTCGTGTGGAAACGGATTTAGTTTGGTTGGTTCCACAAGAGAGTCAGCTGAATGTTCTAACTGTCTGCCCTGCTGCACAACCCTTCAACATGTATCCAAGAATGTTTTGCACGAATTCTATAAGCTACAACTCCGTCTTGTCTTTTGGTGGGCAGAGAGATGGCGCATTTTACCTGGTTTATTCCGAGCAGACGAGCACAAAAAATTGGCGGAAATCAAGCAAGGGACAAGAATTTTTATATGCCACTGGACGGATGGAACATCTACCAGGAGCAGCCAGTGACAGCGTGGCTTCTCGGACAAGATGCAGAAATTTCCAACCCTCGGCAGTGTCGGCAGCAGTGAATCATTCAAAGCAAGGAAACATACGAAAAGTAAGATTCTATTTAACAGATTTGAACTCAGTTATGGAGCTTTCAGATACGCTGGCATATTTTATCAACCTGGTTTCCTAATGTATGGAGAATAACAGAGTCGATTAGCATTATAAATTTCAAAGACCTCGGTACATTTCCGATTCGATGCGCCAATAAATCCACCTCGTCTTTCCTTTATTCCAACACGAATAATCAATTGTTACAATTACCGGGAAATATTTTCGCTTTCCAGGTACGATAGGCTTTTAAACAATTTTGTGATAGGTTCTTTTCATGTGACCTGTACAGGCTTCCTTCAGCCACGTGAATAAATTCTTCCGGTCCGGTTCGTATGTAACTGAGGAATGCCTTGCTATATCAGTTTTGTTTGCTTGCTTGTACAAAAATAGATGAGTTTTCGAATTATTTGCTCAGGAAGCATTTTGTACATATGCAAGTTTTTCAGTTGTCCTTTGATTCATTAAAGAGTAAGACCTATTAGTGATGTCTTTAATGCCCATTTGGTGCCATATGTGCTGCATTGTTCACTGCAAGCTGATGCGCGATTCGGGGAATATCCGCTGGGTTCAGCTCGGAAAAAATGAGGTCCTTTTTCTGACAGAAATTTTGATTTTATTTTGTCCATCTGTTTGCTACGGATAGAGGTTTTCCGGCTGCAGAAATTGAAAATTCGGGTTTGGCCGCTCCCAAATCGACCGAGACATTCGCCGAGACTTGATTATTACTTTACCTTCCCCACTCTATGATAGCTAGACGTGAGCTCGTCTTGATAACTTGACCACAAACTGCGGGTTCAAATCATCCCTTCTAGCGGTAAAGGTTCCTAGTGTGCGGCTAGTAAGTGACTAGAAGAAACACGACGGTTGACACTTCCAGGTTAACGGAGCTTACACAGGGGCAATCGAGCTATCTCGAATAAGGTATTCGAGGCATCCACAGCATGAGTGAGAGGTCATACGTCCTCGTGTAACAGTTTATCCTGTTAGAAATGTGTTTTTGAGAAGTAAGTTAGATGCCTCAATTTTTACTTGCGATTCCTTCTACACTCTACCAACAGCATAGTACGTTACAACCTCACAGTGATTAAATTGTCTTGTTCTAGTATATTGTGGTATGGTAAAGTAAATTAGAGCATAATATAGCATGCGATACTGTGGCATAACATGATGTAATATAGTGTGGTGGGTTCTAGTGCAGCATAGTTCGACACAACTTCCGAGCCCTGAAATAGATGCCCCATCGAAATAAGTAATCTGTTACTCATTTCTCGCCTTAATCGGACAATGGAGCCTCAGTGATAATTTTTGTGAGGCATTCCAAAACGAGCAGCAAGACCACACAGAACATTCTGACCACTGGCTGAATGGGCGGAATACTTCTTCCAAGAACTAAGCTCATGTTATTAAATACGATTGCACCTAGTTTGTGTCTTCCAGATCCTTAAAAGCGCCATATTACCACGGTCTTGGAAACCTTACCATCAGACTACTGTGCAAGCTCCAACTCTCCGTGAAGTAATGGTAAACTTGGGCAAATTTGAACCTACATCCCCCTCAACAGGGGTATAGAAATCAAGGATGTGCGCTTTGATTGTCATGACAATTGATTTACGATTCCGTGCTAAGGCCGTGACCTCAGAGTAAGGACTTGGTTAATCAGCCTAAACGCACGATCTAGGTATCCTGTCTGATGGTAAACGCGTTGTCTAATTCAACGAAGAACGGTCAGTAATAATTGCGGCGAAACCGAATTCCACGAACTTCACCTGCCATTGTTCAGTAGTCGCTCTTGGGGAGTGAACGATAAATTAAACTGGACGGGGGCAGACAGTATAGATAGTTAGACCTTGGTTCTATAAGAAATTAACAGTAAATAGTGAGCAAAATAAAAGGAAATAAAAGGGAAGCTTATGCTAGATGGAATCTTGGACAGTTAGCAACACAGGATGGTACAGAAAGAGCAGCGTGCTATTGGACGAATCAAGCGGGAGAAATGTTGTGCAGTTCAAAGTGGGACAAAATGTTCAACAACAAATCCAAGCAATTAATGTAGAATCGACTTTGTATAAAATAGAATAGTTCAGTGCTGAAAATTGAGTAGTTACCGGAAGGGTGACGAATTAGTCTGAGGAATAGGGAAACACAAATAATTACGCCACGTAATTAACGATTAATTTTTTCTGAGTTATGGTGGGCCAGGATGTACAGAAGGCAAGTTTAGTCCTACTGGTTACATTCAGTGCTCATTACACATGCTGCCTAGTAAACTTGATGTATGGACATTCCTCACAAAGGATTGATCCCATAGCTTACGTGAAACACAACAACTCACGAGGTGGATCATCCAGTATTGGCTCGAGAGCTGTTGGTTTAAATTCTACAGCCAAGTCTATGAAGCATTGCAGGTATGCTAACTTCAGTCATTCAATGAAACCTCCTTTGCAGAGCTTACACTTTAGCTGGAAGTCTCAGATCCCTAGGCATTCTCGTTTTACTTAATTAAGTGGTCTTCTTCTTTAAAGGTGAAATAAGAATAATTTAGATCACTCATGAATTAAATACTACTGAAAACATACAAAGCTGTCGGCGATTAACATCATTAGATTCACAGTATCATCAAAAATTAGTGGCTATTTCTTGGAGGTACCTTTTTAGCCCATGTGCTTCTCATTTCGCGTGTACACAAAAATCCGTGTTCCCGAAGGATTTTTCAAGCCCTATGATACAGCGAAATTTAAATATGTTCTGTGAAAGTTTATTGCAAAAGACATACTAGATCGTGTTTTGTCTGTAATTACCAACTAATTATTTAGGCTATTCATCAAGTAGACTGTTTTTAAGATGGTGGTTAGACAATTATCCTGTTAAGTCGAGCGTGAAAAATGTCCTACCACCTGTGAATTTCACCAGCGTGCAAAAATACGAGACTTAGGGTAATCCTCCAGTTGTTTGATAAATTTCGACCGATCAAGCTGAGGGTATACCCAGTTCGCTGATAAAACTTTACCACAGCGAGGGGGGAGTTGACTGCTTCATTTTAATGATACATTTAAAGAGGAAGGAATGACAAGTGATGTTAGCCCAACTAGAAAACTGGGCAAGTAGTTTCCATGACATTATCGCATGTTGGTTTCCTACTGTCCAGGAATTACATCCTAAGGAAGGACCAGTGAGAGGGCACATAAAATACAAACTGCCCATCAAATCAAATAGTTCGCTTGGAAGTAATTCGGTTTTGAGTTTGAGTCGATCCCCCGAACGGTCATACCCAGAATGGATCAATTTGATCAAGTCCTACAAGTGGTCCCTGTTGAGAGCCAACGCTTCTCTCAAGTTTATTAGACTCATGCATCCGCCAGTTCCCTAATTAAACGTAATGTTCTGTCGGGCACTCGTGATAACCATTGAGGTACCCGGTACGGAACCGGGAACCGTAGGTATGACGATCCCGAATATCAAGAGGGAGAACTGAGTTCGAAAGCCTACGGTAATTTTTACACCAAGGTGAGCAAAGTCGTACAACAAAGTTTAACTGTCCACGTTCGTGGCGTCGACACGTGCTCGAGTCTGTCATTGGTCGGTGTAGTGCATTGTCAAGGTCTGTACACCAAACAAAAGCGAGCTGAATGTTGGCTCTGTAGGGTTGCGGCGTCTCTTCGGAGGACGGTCCCGGAAATGTGATTGGCGGTGCGATTACCCGGAACACATGACAAAACAAGTCAGGGCATACTCAGCAAAAGGGACATGAACACGCATGGGTAAGTAGGTCAGCTGTGTACGTTAACACACACACACACACACAATTACACACATACCAGTGACTGCTTTTGTAGCATGGTGATTGGCGGGTACAGACGAGCAAAAACAAAGTACGTGATGGACAGACTAAGCAAACTAATGGGGAAATATCATGAGTTCAAGTTAGATTCAATGTGACTCTGGTGAAATCAACGAGACTCCCAAAACAGAGGTCGATCCTACTAGAAGGCGCCCACATTAAATCTCATGTGACAAGACTTACATTACATAGTATAATCTTAAGCTATATAGAAAAATGGTCAATTTTTGGAAAGTCCTTCCCGAACACCTTGCCCTAAGGAAGTTAAAAATTTTGACACCGCTGGCTGACTAGTTCTCAGCAGGTTTAGTTCAAGAAGGGAGCCACGTACCCTAAAAATATACGAAATGTCCATGAGGATCACAATAAAACCTGCTCTTTTGGAAATAACCGCACAACACGCAGTGCTGGATAGTGGCTGGTACATCCCAGTTCCGAGTTCATTACCTTCCTTATTACTTTCAAAGGGATACGCCCATAAACGCACATGCGCAAGTTGAAGCTGAGACATAGGCACACGGTATATGCCGCACACCGATGTGGTTTTCGATTTGTACTATTACTCCCGATCCCACTGATGTTCTGTCACTAAATCGTAACAATCTAGCTAGTTGGAGGTGGTTGCTAAATTATTGGTGCGTAAAGCCCTGTGCTTTCAAGGCCACACCCATAACATGATGGTCAGAGAATGAACAGCTGTCCGTCAGTGCAGAGTAATCACCAGCCAGGGAAGTTTGGAACACTAATTGACATAGCAGGACATGTTAAACAATGAAGCACGGTAAAATGGACACACAACATGAAATTATAATGTGTGTGTAGAATTCAGCCCCGTTGGCTGCTTGGTGAGTATCGTGTGCCGACTTAGTTTGAACTGCTGTCCACGTAAATCCAACAAGGATTATTTTTTCAATACTTCGTCGTCTAAAATGTACATTATATATATATGTGTGTACAATATATCCATAAGCAAATCTAAGAGCCAACTTGAAACAGGTCAGGTAATTATAGGGTGAAATCAGAAGTATACAACCGAGGATTGTGACCAATGGGCTGGTGTGTGCTGGCTAACTGTAAACGCTTTCGGTTTCACTCCGGTGGCTACGTAGCAACACATCCCCATTCACACGCTCATTTTGACGCGAAATTTGCGAGGAGTCAGACGTCGGTAGGAAAACATCATCTACATAGCTAAGCTAGTTATGCACTCACGATTCCGATGCTTCCCAGTTTAGCCCTGG